AGATACAGGTAGCCACTTATTCAGCAACAAGTTATCATGGCACTGAACAAGGGGGACTTAATGACAGATCCTCAGAGTTATCGCCGTTGCAGCATCCCACAGTCATGTGACTGCCATTTGTGCCTTCAGGGCCAGCTTCTAACAAGCAAGTTAATGGGAAAACTGGCAGAACGTTGCAAATAATGATCACCTGACTGAAGGATGCTGTTAACATATGGGATTCGCCAAACAATAGCAACTGGAACAGCTGTCAGAAGTTGGTACAGTCACATAACATAACTGTGATGTTGCCACTTAGCAACCAAATTCCCAGTTTCAACTACTGTTTGTAAATGAGAGCTACTTAATAGCAAATAGGAAATAGCTAGAAAAGAGGCTATTTTTCAGATAAAAGCATTTAAATAAGAAATGCAAAAAGTTTCTGGCATTAAATAATACAGAGGAAAAAGAATTCTGGATCAACAGAACACTTACTGTATCTAAGAGAGAATATTACTAATTTTGCTTGTAGTTTGCTTTCTGAGAATCTTAGAACCACATCTTAAGTTCATTGATTTGGGGAAGGTTATATTATTTCATTCCTATAGCATGATGTGATTTGGGGTTACTTTTATAGTATACAGCAATGTTTACAATATACTGTAAGTTGCAGTCTTCCTAATAACTAAAGTTCACTAAATATCTCATACTCTATTTAACTATGTTGTTAATGTCTTTTTTTGTATAAACTTTGCAGTGTTTATTTTATTGCACCACAGATGCATAGAATCACTTTTCTAAGTTCTTCTGTCAATGAAGAGTTAGGAACTTCTAGTCTAGCCCCCTATCTGCCAGATCTTATTTCATCTTGGATAAATGGTGGTCTAATCTTTTCTTGAAAAACTCCAGGGATGAAGCATCTACAATCCTGGGAAGCAAACTGTGCCACTGATTAATTGTTCTTACTATCAGGAAATTTTTCCTTAGTTCTAGGTTGGTTCTCTTTGACCCATTGCTTCTTGTCAAGTACTTTGGAAAATAAGTCATCTCCTCTTCTTTGTACAGCCCCTCAAGTAAAACTCCTATCAAATCACCCCAGTCCTTGTCTTCATTAGGCTAGATATATGTAGTTGCCTTAACCTCTCATTGTACAGTTTAGCCTCCAGCCTCCTTATCATCATTGCACTTTTTCTAGGATAACAGCATCTTTTTTTATCATGGTGACCAGAACTGGATGCAGTATTCCAAATGTAGTTTAATGAGATTAACACTTCACATGATTTTGATACTATTTCTCTGTTGAGGAAGCCTATGACGACATTGGTTTCTTTGGAAGTTATAGCACATGCAGGCTCATATCTAAGTGGTTGTCCACTAGGAAGCCTAGATCTCTCTGAGTTACTGCTATGGAGCTAAATATCACCTATTATATACATGTGCATTTTCTTGCCTAAATGTACGATATTACTTTTTGCACCAATAAGTTGTGTTTTGTTGGATAGAGCCCAATGTTTAAGGCTGTCAAAAAAAACTGTTAATAAAAAATTTCTCCCACACTTTCATTTTAACCATGGGCTTATAGAAGGGAGACAGGAATTGTTTTGTCCCCCTCCCCATGCAACCTGTCTCAGTGCTGTTTTACATTTCCCTCCTTGCCTAGGGCACCTAGGCAATTTCATTCCATGAGACAATAGGAAAAAGGGAGCTTGAACTGAGAGTTCAGTTTTTTATTCAATACAAGAGGATTCTCACTCACTCCTCCAAAGCCAAATTCCCCCTTGCTTTCTGGATACCCCAGTCTTTGCTCAGATGAATCCAGGGGTGGCTCAGAATTAGAAGAAGGACACATTCACTTGACAAGCCTTCCTAGCCAAAGACTTTGAAGCATGGATTGTTATCTTATGCATACTCCTATAAAACACAGGTATATCTAACTTTGACAGGTTTACAGATAGAAATGTAAAAAAAACATGCTAAAATAAATAAAACAGTGAAGTGGTAGCACAACTTGAAAGCAAGAAGCTATGACTTACTGTAGTGATAAAGCTTGCTGATTTTTGTCAGGCTGCAAACACTAACTGTAGAAAACACTAGGGCATCTGCTTACCTTTCATGAATAATTTACCACCCTAGAAAATGGACATATTTACTATAAACAGTGGAACAACAAAGCAAGCATGCTCATTTATAAGCCAGAAAACTAGTATGAGATGCTAATATGACCTTAGTGAAGCATATCAAATGTCACTGACATTGTTTTCCCTAGTCATTTTGATAACAATCTGCTCAGACAATTAATTGTATCTTTTTAAGGGATTAGGTCAAGAATGCCAAATGTGACAAATAAGAAAACTGAAATCCAGTCTTTTAGTTATAGTGAGACACACTATTTATTTTTATTTATTGTTTAGCTAGATTGCAGTCTATCTTGCAACATTTTTTTCCATGTGTCTTACAGAAGTTTCAAAAATATGATTTAGAATACAATATATTTAAACACTTAATAGTACAACTAACAGATGACAGAGAAGCCACCACAAAAATCTTAAATTTGGGGGGAAATTTATTTTTGCTTAGAATGTAGATTTTGTCATCTAGGTGAATGATTTATATTTCCAGCCTTTTTGTGAGCTCACCAGGTTGAGGATCCTTATAGAATGAAAACACAGAATATCTAATGAATTCACTGACACGATTGAATAAATTATAGTAGAGGAATGGGAAACTCACAGACAGCATATGGCCTCAGCATTTCATCTGTGGTCCTCCCACACCTAGGGACTATGGTGAATCTGTTGAAAGGCGGTAGCAATTTTTTAAATAGCAGAAACATGAACAGAAAGTTTCTTGGGGGCACCTCATGCTTATTCCAGCCTTAATATCTCTTTATCATGTGAAAACAATTATTTTCATATCCATTATTCCCAGAGATCTCCCCTTGAGAATAGTGGAGGATTGCACATCCTGCTATAATCTTTGGTATCCAATTCATCTCTGATAATGTTTTCTACATCAACAATGTGACAAAAGAAAGAAAGAAGACATTCCTTCCATTCAAGTATTGCCTTGCTTTGGAAAGTAAAATAAAATTTTAAAAAAATCACACAACTATTATGTAATCCCATTATACTCATCATAAATATCTTTTTGCATGCCTTTTTCTAAGTCAGATCAAAATATACTTATCTCTAAAGCCCATGTGTTTATGTGTACTGCTTACTATGAAAGCAGATGAACAAGTGCTCCTTTGTATATAGTATACACAAATACAACATGACTGCTTGTGGCAGAGGAGCCCTCATATATAGCACAAAATGGTACATTGCTGTACACCCATATAAACTGACTTATGTATAATCCTGAACCATCCTCTATCAGTATATAGAAAGGAAGATGACACTGGTGTTGATATATGCAAGCTCTCTTACCAGTGCAAGAGCAAAACATATTTTAAGTCTACAACAGACAGAAAACATTTGAAGAACTCAAACGGATATTGCCCTAATTCAGGGAACCATAAGCTGGGGGAGGTGTAAAATTATCCAATCAATCCAATATTGATTTATTATAGCCAATCTCAATAAAAGTAATTTTAACCTTCCTGTAGAGTTGATTTGTCTGCTCTACCTAGTCAGGCTGACAATGAGTGCTTGTATGTACCCTTACACATGAAGGTTTTCCTGCTGCAGACAACAATCCTTGGGTACTTGTGGAAGGATGTAATAGTATATGGGAAAGATCATGGGAGACAGGAGTAAGAGATGCTGTCTAAGGAAGGGTCAAATAAGAGACAGCATAGCCCACAACTGCTAGTTGGTGAACAAGAGCCAAAAGGACATTACCTAAGTTCTCAGGATGTAAAGGTTAATATGAACAATTGTACTTTCAGACTTGCATGATGTTATTACTCTACTTTTACAATAAACTTAAATTACTTTATCTGATCATGTTTGCTGTTTGGTCTACATACATCACCTTCAACAGTTTGAGTTTTTTTAAAAATAAACATTTTGCACTATGCATACACAATTACGGTATTATTAAGAGATGTATAGTTAGCACAAAATATATTACATTTAAATAACATACAAAAATAATCTATTAACCACAGAATACTTTCTACATTAAAATAAATTTAAGCTTCAAGTACCAATAAAACAATACTAATAGTCTCAAAATTCATCATATATAATTATGTGGATACAAATATGAAAATATGTTGAACAAACCATACAATTCAGAAGCTATCACAAGCTATTAAATATATACATACATACATACATACATACATACATACATACATACATACATACATACTTTCATATCTAAAACGTATCAGACCACTCTGGATCTAATCTCCCAACCTGCTAGCTTAGACATGGAAAAGCAGTGAGCTCTAAGTGGAAAGGGTAATCTTCAGCTCCCTTCCCATTTAATAGAGGGAGGAAAAGTTCCATTAGTGCAAAAATTAGATTTTATCCTAGGATTATAAAACATTAATTGCAAACGAAAGATGATTTCTGCAATATGATTTCTGTTTCTACAACACTGAAACAGCAATATTAACTTGCTGTTTCAGTGTTGACAGCATTATGGTGGTGCAATTGTTAAAATGCAGTATTGCAGGCTAATTCTGCTGACTGCCAGGGGTTTGATCCTTACCAGCTCAAGGTTGACTCAGCCTTCCGCCCTTCCAAGATTGGTAAAATGAAGATCCAGATTGTTGGGGGGGAAAATGCTGATTCTAAACTGCTTAGAGAGGACTGTAAATCACTGTGAAGAGGTATAAAAGTCTAAGTGCTATTGCTATTGCTATTATTTGAATGAAATGTGCTACAATTTCTGCCAATGCAATGTTGAACACTGAACAGGAAGAAAATTCTAGTAAAATAGCATGAAAACATTCAACAATACAAGAGACCACTTACAAAATCTGTAATATTTAACAATGTTCAAATCAGTTAATTGGCAGGAATTCATTTACACTGAGGGAGAAAGGAAATATTTAGAAATGTACTTACCAGTGAGCTTGTTGTGACTGAGAACCAGCTGTGTGATATGAGACAGACTGACTGTAAATAAAAAGAAAAAAATAAAGAATGAATAAACCGCCCACATTATACAATAATTACAAAGTAGAAAATAGCTAAAGAGCAGGTTGGAAGTTATTCTTATATAGCAGTGGTGGCAAACCTATGGCACATGTGCCACAGTTGGCACACAGAGCCCTCTCTGTGGGCACGCGCGCCATCGCCCCAGTCCTAGGCCTTCAGCTGGGTTTTATAAAACCTTTTCGCTTTAGGCCTCCACCACTGTGTACACACACAAAAAAAGCTTCAATCGGTCAATTTCAACTTCTCACAGGAAAAAAAAGATCTTGCAAAGTTGGAATTGATTGATTGAACTTTTTAGTCCCACCCAGTCTGCCATTACCACCGCAGCCATGCCCACCCAATGGGCCTGCCCACTCAATGGGACACACCCACCCGTCACCTGATGATGCATAAGTGGGTTCTGGGTTGCAGTTTGGGCACTCGGTCTCTAAAAGGTTTGCCATCACTTTTATATAGCTACCTAGCAAAATTTAAATACAAAACATTGTAGACTTTCCCTAAAGACCTAGTTAGTGAGGTAGGTTTGATTAGCATAAGTTTATAACATCTTTCATAGAACTAGCTTGCTTGCAAAATATAATTTTGAAGTTTTGTATTATGACTCAGTTACTGTACATAATCAATAAAAATCTATTTCCAGTCCATGTCTGTTCTATCCAAGTTTATTTTATTGGGTATCTTTTTAAAAACATATTTATTAAAATGCTGTACATATATGTATTTGTCTTAAGTACATATTCTATATAGATTTTTACATGATTTCATATTAAATTTGAACTAAGTACAAAAAGATTGGCTAATTAGAATAGACTAGACTAGACTAGACTAGACTAGACTAGAATAGACTAGAATAGACTAGAATAGCCCCCTTATCAAACAGGAGAACCTATACCATTTCAGACAAATTTCTAATGATGGAGTACCCACGATTTCTAAAGGCAAACTGTTCCACGTGTTAATTGTCCTCACTGTTAGGAAGTTTCTCCTTAATTCCTGGTTGCTTTTCTCTTTGATCAGTTTCCAACCATTGTTTCTTGTCTTGCCCTCTGGTGGTTTGGAGAATAGTTTGACGCCCTCTTCTTTGTGGTAGCCCCTCAAATACTGGAATACTGCTATCATGTTTCTTCTTTTATTTAGACTAGACAAACCCAAGTCCCGCAGCCATTCTCCATATTTTTAGTCTCCAGGCCTTTGATCATTTTAGCTGCTCTGGTCTGAACTTTTTCCAAGGTCTCAACATATTTTTTGTAATATAATGAACAAAATTGATTGCTCTTCTGGTATATTTTGGTTTATAGAACAGTCAGTTGAAGCCTGAAAATCAGTTTGGAGTAATGTTTCTGGCTCTTATTTCTGTAGTAATCTCTTTTATTTTAGCACATACTTGCTCAGTGACTTTGTAATTTTTTTCCAATATAAGTTTACAATTTAATTGTAAGTAAGGTTTCTCCATTTAATTAATAATTGCAGACAGTCCTTTTTATCTTTTAGTGGGGGCTATATTTACTAGAAATTAAACAATGTCCACCCCCACAATTTGTAACTGCTGCATCAGCTTCCTTATCTTTTCCCTTCTGTTATAGTTTGAAGGTCAAGCCAACCTCATCTCCAGACAAAAACAGGCAGTTGCAATATTAAATTTTTGCCAAAAGATGTCCTCAGTGGGTTGTAAAATCTTTCCCCAAAACCATTTTTTTTTCTTTTTCTCTCTTTTCTTAAAAGAAATATTCTTCAAGTGTAAAATAAAGATAAAGCTCTATAAAAAAAGTTTTTTCTGTACCCCAAGGTAAATAAGAGTAAAGTATAGTCATTAAAATTAATAATTCTGTTCTTTTGTTCAGCGCATTTCTTCCCATGCAAGCAAGCGCCGCTCTCTCAAGACATGGAAATGATTCCAAAAAAGCTTTTACAGGCAGAGAGAAAAATAGGGTGAAGAGAGGAGAAGGGAGGGTCTCACCCAGGTCATCCGCGGTGGGTCTTTCACACTTAGATGTTCCTGTGACTTTCGGTTGGTGCAGTTAGATGATCAGCCATCTTGTAGGACGATCTTTGTTTCATCGGCCCTAAGGAGTTAGCTGGAGCCGTGGAAGAAGCTGCCACCCTCCTGCAATCACTAACAAGCCTCCTCATCCTCATCCAGGGCAACTTTCAACCCATTACGGGGTCTACCAGCGAAGAAAAAACAGCCAGTGGAGAGACAAGTCTCTTCACATGACTGGAGTCGCTGCAAACCGGAATCGGAAGTCTCTTTGTGTGATCTTGATTCTATACTTCGGATTGTATTTCAAAGACTCAACTAGTTCACAAAGAATGAACTCAATCAGCCTAAACATAGCAGTAATTATCTAACCTTAAGAGGAAGCAGATATTTGGGTTGGACTCTGGGGAAGAGAGATGGATAAAGGAAAAAAACAGTAATAATGGGGAAAAATAACAAAGCAGCCTACAGTGATTTACCTATGTGTTTATAAAGAAACTTAAAAACTAATTAAATATAAAACATGACAATATTAAAGACAGGATGCTTTAATATGGTCATATACTTAAGCAGAATTCAACTGATGTTAGCTTGACATCTGTACTTTTCAAGATACTGCCAACAAGTTGCGAAAGAATAAATTATCATTATCCATTACACTATATACATTAGACGAACTATTTTGCATTCTTGGCAATTTAAAATATTTTTAAAGACAGAATTTGCATCCTTGGGGAAATATCTTTTCCATTAACTCTCAATTAAATTATTAATCCCTAAGACTGAGAATAGAATAACAGGGAGATTGAATAAAAAGAAAAAAATGTAATTGGAACTACTGAAGAACTTCTTTAATAAAATAAACTATAATAAACTGTGCCTTCAGATCCACAAGATGGCACTGTAGCTTCATTTTTAATTCAGTGCATAACATTTAGACAGGAAGTTTATACTGCTACTGTAAATCTCATGTGGATCAGGAAAAAAAAACAGAAGGCAAAATGATATATTCTCATCTTTTTAAAAAAAAGTCTATGACAACTTGTTATAAATCGAAAAAAATATATTCTCAATGCCCTAAATAAGGAAATAAATGAAAAAATCATTGAAAAAAGTCTAATTTAATGGCATGTCACAATACATATTTATTTTCCTTCTTTTTCATGAGGTATACATTGTAGCATCCACAAAATAAAAGACTACTGGACTATCTATACTTATGCTTTTCTCAGTTTTTGCTTAGGTATATGTTTATGCACATAGCCCATTCGTATATTTAAAAGTAAGTAAGTAATATTATAGTGTGTTATTATTTCTTCCAATAATACTAAACCCTCAGATTCTGAACTGAACAAGGTTTCTTTGGAGTCTTAATTAAGCCATTGCTAACAATGACAGCAATGTAATTCTGTCAATCCTTCAAAGATTGACCAGGCAACAGACTCCATGAGGTGATAAAACTATACCTCACTGTAAAATAACAGATTCCTGAAAGAGTCATTCCAAATCTCTGTCTCCCTTCCTAGGAATTAAAGAATGTTTCTGTCCTCTTTGTTTACATGTTTTTTTTAAAACTGCTTCAAAGTCATGTCCCTGAATCTATATTTCACATTTTCAACTATGTCTTTTGAGAATGCAAATTATATCAAAAGCAGCAAGTACTGTTTGGCAACGATGGCAACTTGGCAAGCTGGAGAATTCTGGGAGTTGAAGTCCACACATTTTCAAGTTGCTAAAGCTGAAAAACACTGAGTTAGAGCAGGGCTGTCAAACTGCCGGCCCATGGGCCGGATGCATCATGACAAAACCACGCCTACCCCATTGCTGGCAATGGAAAAAAAGTCGTGATACGTCACGTGATGTTGTGAGTTTGACACCCCTGAGTTAGAGTGTTGCCTGGAAATGAAGGATATGACCATATTATAGTAGGAATATTCACTAGTCATATCAACATACCGATATAAATCTTTAATGCTCTTCAGGTTTTCAGACAAGACCTTTTATATTCTTTTCCCATCGATACTTAAAACATTTGTGGAGGATATGCTCTGGTTGCTCTAGCACAGTGGTTCTCAACCTTTTTAATGCCGCGACCCCCAACTGGTCGTAAGTTGAGGACTACTCAACCGGTCGTAAGTCGAGGACTACTCAACTGGTGCAGCACCGTTTGCAGAATGGGACTTTTGGCGGGCTCAGCAGGGCAGAGACAGCCTGGACAATTCCTATTGGCTTTTGAAAGCCAATAGAATTAGACTCTATTCAAGAGAGTCTATTCTATTGGCTTTCAAAAGCCAGTAGAATAAAAGGGAGTAGCACAGCTAAGGAAAAGGGGGAAAAAATGGCGGACTGCGCTGTTTGGCGACCCCCGTGAAATGGTCGTTCGATCCCAAATGGGGTCCCAACCCAGAGGTTGAGAACCACTGCTCTAGCACCATTTTACTCATATTTTATTTCAGCTTAGAATATAATGGATAAATCTTTTTTGCATTGGGAAAAAGGAAAAAAGGAGAAATTTCCTGACACTTAGCACAATCAACCAGTGGAACAACTTGCCTCCAGAAGCTATGAATGCTCCAACACTGGAAGTTTTTAAGAAGAGACTGGACAGCCATTTGTCCAAAATGGAATAGGGTTTCTTGCCTGAGCAGGGGGTTGGACCTAATGACCTCCAAGATCCCTTCCAACTTTATAATTATTATTATTATTATAAAATATGTTTTAATCTTAAATTTATTTATGTTGCTTCTAATCTTATTTTCTAAAGTTTAGGTTATCAATCATTTAATTTAACACATTATATTGGGGTTTTTTTGGGAGAGTTGGATATTTTGATTTTACTGCCTTGCAGAAATTTTTGTTTTGATAGAGAATGTGCTTTGATTATAAAATAAAATGAATGAAATCCTTATTCTTTTAGTACTGAACAAAATGTGGCACAGGACTAGTTTCTGAGCATGTTCCCAAGCACAGTGTGACATAA